CGCAAGTACTACATGCGATTTCTGGAGTAGCAAATATTCATTGCAGAATGTAACTACTTCTTGGCGCTGTTTTACCCTGAAGAAGCCCGACAGATCCGTTTTGATTTTTGTTTCTGTCTGCCTGTTTTGATTCCCATTGCCTTGATGCATCTGCTTTTGATGAAGCCACGACGCGGATCCTTTGAACACGCAGCTCAGAATTTCCTAAACTGGGAGGCGATTCATCGAAAGGTGTAATTTTCCGCATTTGTTGCCTTGTCGTGCGTTTAGTGTTTTCGGTTCCTCCTGTTTATCTGTCACACGTTCACTTTAGGGCACGCTCGGGGGGGCGGGGGTTCAGTGTGAAGTTACCGCGTTTATAATGGGCTTAACACGTTTTTCAATATAGACAAGGAATGCGCGAGAGCCTTTGCTCATTTTGTTTCACAAATCCTTTAACTTAAGAATTTAATTTTAATCTCTGTTAACCACTCTTCTAAATAGAACTCAACGTCCAAGGTCTATCTTATACGTAAAATTTTAGTTGCTTTAAAACCTAATGAATGCATTGCCTGGTTCTTTTACCGTATCAACACTAAATTCCACATTTTTACTGCGTTAACTAAGTCCAAATTTCCACCTCCTCACTGCCCTAAAATCTTCACCATCTACGTGCTTAAATGTTAAGGTGGTCTTAATGCGTAATTCGACCTTAAGTAGCAGACGAACCCGCATTCATTATAATACAGTTTCGCGGCTCGTCGTGCGAGCGAGACGCGCCCGGAGCTCTTTGCCCGGTTTTACATAGTAACCCAGTGCTGAACCGTGCCCTGGAGTAACTGATCTAATCCTGCCATTATGACGTGGGAAGGTCCAAGCGGTGTTGCAAGAATTCTTCCCATGTTGTTACTCAGCAATTATTTTAAGGAATCAAAAGTATCTAGAAAGCTGCACTTCTTCAAAATTACGATATTGATATAAGTTATTCGGAATCCTGTGTGTAATAGATGACAGAGAACAAGATTGCATGTTTACAAATCCTTCATTAACATAGCGTTATGTAGACCTGTTTCGCAAGTACTTTTCATTGCAGGGTAACTCCATTGCGCCTAAAAAAGAACATCATCTTTTGAATTTGTTTATTTGTTGTATAAAACTCGAACTGGGGGAGATTGCTCTTTTTTTTCAGTCAGTCCTGCGAATTTGGGTAAGAACAAAGGAAAGTACTTATGTAATCTAAGGAGACCACAATCCCCCTCCCAATTATTATCTAATCTAGTCAGATCGCAGGAAGCAAGTAGTATTGATCAAGTGGAATATGAATGAGGTGGTCTTAGGGTCTCGCGGCCCCTGCGTGTCCGTGATCGAAAGGTCGGCAGTTTAAATGCAATGGCCGTTGATGTCACCGTTGGGCCCTTGAGCAAGGATCTTGACCCCAAATTGCTCCAAGGACTGTCTGACTCAGCTCTCTCACTTGTATGTTGCTTTGGGTAGATGCATCTGCCAAATAAATAGTTGTAAATTAATATTTAAAAGCCATCTTAATTTTAGTTGATATCAGTTATTTATTACAAAACAGCCACAACAAAACAAAAGGCAATCTCTCCATATGTAAAAGTAATTTTTAAAGAAAATGTAAAAACTTGAATACATTTTTATTCAGTTTTACTTTAATATAATTTACAAATAAAACAAGACAGATATGTAGGTTAAGCTGATTCATAAATGACTGCAACAACCATGAATGTCCAGTCTTCTGACCTACTTCATGGTAAGCAGTTAGAGGATGGATGGATGGATGGATGGATGAATGAATGGAAAGTTTTTATTGTGTTGCTGTGAAAGTAACTTAACAACTATATAATTAATTATTTTTAAAGATATCCATGTAAAAACTTTAAAAATAATTAATATTCTTCACAAAGTTTTTTTTTTTAAACACACAATCTGCTTGTTTGTCATACCTTCTCAGTTCTAAAGAACTTGGGTGTCTTTGTTCTTTGACCTTGTTCAGCATTTTGACGTCTCTGGCTCAATCTTTCTGGATATTTTATTAGGAATATGGACCATCCTCCTCTCCTTTTTTCATACTTACACAGTTGTCATGCAGATATAACCTGTTTATTCCCTGATTCCAATTGCACGCACGCAAGCACTCAAAGCAAACTCAACAGGTGTGTCCAAAAACACTGTTCTCAGAGCCGATGTATCAATGCATACCTGGCCCACACCTTTCAGAAGAAGCAGTGCTGTGCCTGCCCCTTTCGGGAGCGGGATTGTATCACGTCCCATTGTACGCACACCCTTCTCTGCCAAAAGAGTGCAATGGGGATGTTTTAATCACAAGACAAAGTGAAAAGAGGAAGAGGTGAGAATCAACCACCATCTCTTGGAAACCCAAAATACAGCTGCATGTGTTTTCCGGACACTTCCGCCAGCAAGGACACACCATGTAACACATCCAGGAAGGTGTATCTGTACTATGTGATGGAAGTAAAGTCAATGGTGTTTTCTGTCTTTGATGGAGTGTGACAGGGGACTATGTATCGCAGAATAAACATGTAACCCCCCCCCCTTGTGATGAAGACACCTTCCATCTGCCCTCTCATGACATAATGGTCCTCTTGAAATTTTACAGCTTTCCTACCAAAAACCATGGGTAAGCTTGTAGGTCTTTCATAGTTCACAAACTGAGCATTTTATTGCCCTTTCGGACACTTGGGCCTTTAACACATTGTGCTTTTCTTGCATCTTCGCAAGTCAGGTGATTTTTGGTCAGTTGCTTTACCACAGAACATTTAGGTTTCGGTTTTAGCTGTAAATTCATATGCAGTAATTTGAGAAGCGAGAGAGAGGGAATAAATTTGAATATCATCAATTAGTATATCACATTTAAGTTATATTCACAAAGTGCATGACCATGTATGGCCCAGAGTATAAATGCTAGACAGCTGCTTTACAGATACATACATGTACACCCTTTCCCTGAGTAAAATAATATATTGCTTTAATGATTTTTCTATTATTTGCTTTAATATTTTCTTTCTATTTTTATATTAATTATTAACCAAGCTTGTTAATGTTTAGATTTTCAATATATTGGTGTCAGTCTTTAATATCGTTACACTTTTCTTAAATATAGTATTTTTCCATATGTGTTATTATGCTATATCTGAATACTATGTATACTATAATGTATAACAGCTGCAAGTGTGGTTATACTTGTTTCTGCATTCATTTTATTTATCAAAGTGATTAAAACACAGCTCTGTGCAGGAGCCAGAATCCTGGCATATTATCTATCAAACTTAATATGACAAGAAGTTACTTCATTGGAAATAAACAACCACTTATTATACAGAATGAAATTCCACACCTAACAACTTCCTAATCCATTTAGACATATCAGTTACAGGACTTGGGGCAGTAAAGTCTTCAAACATTTTTGAACTATTTTATTATGTTCTGGCTGTAATTGTACCTTTTTGCCTTATGCATGTTATAGCTTTAAGCATTTTTGAATTATTTTACTATGTTCTGACTGTAATTGTACCTTTTTTCCTTATGCGTGTTACAGCTTTGTACTGTAAATGCAAGGCTGACTTAGGTGAGGTTGATTTGAGCCAGACCCTTCTGAGCCCTTCTGTATTTTCTAGCGTTTGTAATCATTCTGCATTTGGCGCGTGCAGCCAAACACGACTGTGTTGAAGTGGATCTTCCTACTTGTAAAGATAAGCAACTGCTACGGAAATAATGTGAATAGTGAATAATAATTTGAGTCATTCGCGTAGGTATTATGGGCATTTATTGTAACGTTACCCTTGGTACCTACATCTGCACTGCTTGCTACTATTGACTTAATACCTGTATTCGTAAATAGATAAATTGCAGTTTTTGTATTTTCTAAGGCCAAAAGTTTGATTTTTTTTTGTAACACATAAACTCCATCCATTCTTGTTCCCTAACTGCATGTTGAATGCATGGTTGTGATAAGCCAACACACTATCACAGAAAACGTGCAAAAATGTTTGCTGATATTAAAATTAAAAGCAAATTTGATCATTACTATGGTCTTGCTAATCTAATGATCTATCATTAAATTGGTTTGCCAGTTGATTTGCATATATGTCTGCAAAACTCTCAGGATTGCGTTGCAGCTAGTTCTCCTGTAGGCCTATCATAACAGAACAATAAGATGCAGGAAAAACTGAGAGAACAAGAATGCACGGAAGTCTGTGGAATGCATACACCAAAATGGGGGGTAATTAAAGCTAATTTTTATTATTTAATTATGCACATTTAAAATTGAACCTGTAATATAATAAACTTGAATTGTCAGTATATAGTGTAAAAGAATCAATCCTCTATATGTATTCTGCAAATTATACCACAAAAATAATTCTAACATAGGCCTATATACCAATTTTCTCAATGCAGTTCGCTTGTAAATCCATATTTTGTGCGTGTATTTGTGCATTGGTACTGGCGCAATCCTTCAATTAATATGCATGACGTGGAAAATGAATAAAATATATTTATAAGCAGGTATGGTACTCTTAGAGGGGGGAAAAATGGATTTACACAGCAGTGTAACCTCGGGTAGTCTGTGCGGTGATTCCCCTGAGTCTACACACCAGGAATGAGAATGTCAAATACGCGGTATCGAGTAGGCTGATTGATAGCAAGCAAAAATGCCGATTTTACTCCCAGTCAAAGCCCTTATTTTTTCTGTCAACAATCATGTCATGTTTATCATGTTATATTGATGTTATCCTGATCTGTATTTCTAATGGTCGCGCTGAATACATCTACACTACAAGGGAAAACCTATGGATTCTTATCATTCGAGTATCTTTGATGTTTAAGGAAGTATATTTATGTCGTAGGCTATTACCAGTTAACGAAAGTTGGCACGACGGCACCAGCCTCATTTCACATGTTTACAAATTAATTAAAATGTATACCGAATGTCGACCGCTTAGAGGGTTCGTGAACAATGTAAAGACACGTGTTCTTTTTCATCAAAGTAAAAATATGTTTTATTCCGGTAAAATATTTTATAACATTTTTAAAAATCGTACGCTTTACATCTTTAACAGATTACTTCATAGTATTGGCAATGCATTGAAGTAGTTACAGAGAGTTGCATCATACTCATGCAGTCCAATTCTTCCCATGACAACCATTTTAATGCAGGAGGGCGACAGTGGTATTTAAATAACATAATACTTGACATTGAGTCCGAAGGCGAACCGCGTACAAAAATAAAAAATACAGACATAAATAAAAATCACAGTGGCACGTCATCATTAAATGCACACACTGTTTTTTTTCTCGCAACTTCTTTTCAGTTGTAAACAGTAAACGCGTTGTTTTTTCCCCACCTTTAACCAACTTTTTACAGTATATATCCCAGAGTTGAGCCATTGACTTTGAACCAGTTCACAGTTCCAGCCTGATCTGCAGGTTCTCAGTGCCCCCTTGCCTAAGTGGATCCGGGGGCGCGGGACGCCGCTAGCACTGTCCGGTGGCGGAGAGCAGGTTGCGCAGAGTGGCCAGCTCTCCGGACAGCTGCTCCACACGTTTCTGCAAACGGTGGTTCTCCGCCGTCAGCTCCAGCACCTTGTTCTGCGTCTCGATGTTGCGCAGCTTGGCTTTGTCCCTGCTCTTCCTCACCGCCAGGTTATTCCTCTCCCGTCTTTGCCGGTACTCGTCGCTGTCCTTATCCAGCCGCTTCTTCCCCTTGGTGGCCGAAGGCATTTTGCCGTTCTGCTGCGGGTTTCTCCCCATCTCCTGCGGGGTAGGTGTCCCCGGCGGACTGGAGCAGGTGGAGGAGGCGGTAGATATGTTGCCCAGGCTGCCGCTTGGGTTGGACTGGTACTGCAGATACTGTCTCACCTCGTAGCCTGGGGACCCGTTGTCCATCCTGGCGTCTTCTTTATCCGGTCTGAAACCGGCCTTTATATAACCCAGAAGGTGCGGACTGAACACAGTGTCCACTCGGGTCTCCAGCAGTTCGGGGTAGCCCAGGATGCTCTGCTCTCTCGGGTTGGGGCAGCTTTCCTGCTCGTAGTTTCTGCAAACCTGCAGGGATGCCACCCGTTTGGCTTTGTTCTCTTCTGCGAGGAAATCGGCTAGAATATCCTCCCCACGCTGGTGGTGCAAGGCGTCGCTGTGTGATGCCTGCTGCTGATAGTGCAGGGTGGGATCCAGGTAGATGCTGAAGTCTATGGCTTTTTCGTGCTCCGCGATGCCCAGCTCCGTCATGGAGCCGTTGATCGGCTGCTTCCAGGCGCCGCTACTAACGTGACTGTTACTGCTCTTGCTACTGTGGAGAGCAAGACAATCCCCCTCGTAAAAACCGGCCACTTCCATGGATCTTAACACCCGCCGGATTGGGGGATCATCGGTTTCAGGGAGATAAACTCCCCGTCGACCAACTTTTTTCTTTCTTTGATTTTAAATTAATCTTACGGCAAATCCTTCCTGCTGCGCTTTGGTGCTGGCTGCCCACAACAAGTGAAAATTAATTAAGTAACTATTCAACTTAGAGATCTCCGCTTCAGATGCAGCCTTTAAGTTCAGCGCACTACGCGTTAAATGCTCAGGAATTCAGTTTTGACAGCCGACTTGGACTTTATATATAGCCTAACAAATGTGGGCGTGGGGGCGGTGCTCCACGATGGGTTGGGTTGCAGCAAGGCGCGTCTAACCAGTTCAGCTGCAAAAACCTGAAGTACGTTCTTTAAAACGCTTAAAGTGATAGTGACGGAAACCAGAGTCACTCACATGGCAAGCAACTAAATGTTCTTGTGTATACTATATATGCCTTTCTATATCTTCAGACGCGTGTATATACGATAAATATATTATAAACACGTGGCATAAGTGATACATTGTACACTGGGGTGAATACGCTCTCTTAGAAACCGCCAACAAGTGTAAGCAGAAAACCATGACTTTTTGATGCTTAGTTGGCTTTGAACTTTATAACAGGTCTACTATACCCTATAGCCTAATACCAGTAAATGAGCTTTTTACAAAGTACACTTATGTTACATTTCCCCCCAAATCTATCATTAGAATAACTTAAATAATTATTTAAAGGACTTATAATAAACCAAAGTAAAAAGGTAATAGTATATAGTGCATACACATACATTAAAACACATACAATTTATGTATGAAGAACATTTAAACAGTTTTGTTTTTGCTTTATTTTTCTGGTTATATTATATATGGGTTTGTTTCGTGTTTTTAAGAATTATCTAGAATTGAACCATAAAATATGTAATGACACAATGCCTCCTCAATCAGGATTGTACACCATATATAAAGCGTACAACCATTTTTCGAAGCAAAGTATATGACCTGAAATAGCCCACATCCCGTATTCATTCATCAGAAAATAACACTGACATCTAGTGGCACTTATTTTCACTGACTCGGTGTATGCCTTTATTATTATTATTATTATTATTATTATTATTATTATTATTATTATTATTATTATTATTATTATTATCGTCGTTGTTGCTGCTGGTGATATAGTAGCCCCATTTATTCTGAATTTATGTTTCTGACTGTCCTTGCTACAAATGCTAAACGGTATTTCGCGGCATTAATAAATCAGGTAGATTGCAAATGAATAGAGCCCTTTTTCTGGGCGATACAAGGTTAACTGTCATTCGTTTTAATAGCGGATAATTTGTCTTGCGTGGTTAATGTTTATCCAGCATTTTTGCCTTTTAGGCCTATCACTGTTTTTTTGCTAATATTTCTGACCAAACTTGCGACGGGAAATTACTTTAGTAAATTCCGCATTTTCATCACAAAAGGAAAGAAGTATACCCCTTCCTTCCCCAAACCCCAAAACTGACACCAAACATATATTAAAGTTTTAGTGCTGGCTGCGAGTAACAAGCTGCATACTATTATTCTTCTTAGAAAATAAAACAAACAGCCGATACTTAAGGAAGCTTACGTGTTAACATAATTTTACATTTTAAATACCACCGCCCACTCAGGGCTAAGAACCAAGGGTAAATACTTATTCAATATTGGGTGTTACCTCACACCTCAAAAGGTTTCGGTACAAATCTATAGGCTTGTGTTTGCTCCACATTTTGGCTTCCTTGTGCTTGTCTGGTTTCCTTGAACCACAGTCCGACGACCTATACGTCAGGTGAACTTGATCAGATTATTTTTTATGTTGGACCCCGCCCCCCGCATTCGTTCCAAGAACCTAAATGATCGTATAATCGATCATTTTTCCTTCTTCATTTTCCTTTTTTAATTAAAAAAATGTCTAAGGAATCATTGCTGTAATAATAATACTACTACTACTAATAATAAAAGTGTTCTGCAATGGGCTGGCCCCCCGTCCAGGGTTGTTCCCTGCCTCGTGCCCATTGCTTCCTGGATAGGCTCCGGACCCCCCGCGACCCAGTAGGATAAGCGGGTTGGACAATGGATGGATGGATGGATAATAATAATAATAATAATAATATAATAATAATAATGTAGTGTGATCATGTTACGGGGGTGGATAAACCTGCCAGTCAGCGCGATAGAGGCTGTGGCGTCACCCAGTTCAGGGAATATAAATCTGCCTGGAAAGTTGAATTCCGGAGTAAGTTTCTGTTTGTTTGGAATGTCAGTTACGGTCGTTTGTCAAATAATGTTAAATTTGTGTAAAAGGAATTAGCTACAGCTTTTAATTAATATTTCGTTGCATTATAACTTATTTATAAACACCCACACGCAGAAAGATTGACTATGTAGACATGCAACACGCCCCCGTCCAAGCTGAGGGAGGGGACGCAAACTATTACACAGGAAATGCATTTAAAAGCAGAAACAAAGATGTCTGACAAGATACCCGATGCTGTCATAGAGTTGGCCCTGCGGCCAACGTGAAAGAAACGCCGCGAAGCCGCAGCTGGCAGTCGCTCATCTCGTGAGTGCTGTATTATCTTGAGGTCTGCCTCACTGTAATTGGCCGGGAAAGGGTGTGGACCAGAATTACGGCCTGCCTCGACGCGATCCGATTGGTTATGTGGGCGTAAACCCACTTATCGCACGTCGCTAATTGGCCGATGCAGATAGCGAGGTTAACGCGACCGGGCCTCGGCCAATGGGGAGTCAGTGCTCTGAGGCGGGCGTAGTAGTAGGGCTGAAATTTTTGCGATCCTAGTGGGTCGAGAGTGCTGGGAAACATGGCGAGTGCGGAGAATGGAGAAGGGTGTATGCAAGACACCGAACAGGAGCCCGAACCGAGCGGACCGGGCAGGGGCGAGCACCGCTGGGGTCCGCAGCATGCCGGGGCTCGGGAGTTAGCGAACTTATATTCTCCAGGTGAGAGACAAGGAAGAGGTTGCCTTTTACGTTTATTTTTTGAACCTGGCGTCCGCGCACGTCATCCAAGGTATTGGTATCTGGACGAGAACAACCACCCGATATTGGGTGTAGAATGAAACACCACGCCTTCCTGTGAAAATTAATTTCTAGTTTTAATTCGTGGTTGTTGTGTCAGGCTTTATACCCTTATCCGATTTGTGTAAGCTAGTGTGTGTACCGTATTGGATGATTTTGCCTGGTGGTAGACGCCTGTCCCCTTGGTCGCCGATCTGATGCTGATTTGACGCTGTTCAGTCGGGTTTTGACGGCTTTTCTGATCTCATTCTAGTGTCCAGGTGACGCTGGTTATGCGGCTTCATTCCGGCTGATGCGTAGCTGTCAGTTTAGGCCGAGCCTCGGCAAGTAAGGATCCTTTCTGTGCTGTGAATGACAGGTTCAAGATCTACATCCCTATATGTTTGGTTACCTTTAACTTTTGCGTGAATGTCTTTTGCTTTTTCCCTGCGTTGAAGGCACATATTCTAGTAAACTGCATTGAGAGGTGTCGATTCTGTTTCAGCAGAAAATAAGTGCTTCGCTTAAGATCACAAACCAGTTTCTTTGAAAATGCATTTTTTTTCTTTTTCAGTCTCATGCTTAAATGCTTCTCTGCACACGGTATTTGGAGCACGACAATTATGTCTTCTACAGTGTCTATGGCATTGCTTTCACACATTTAATAGAGATTGTTTTCCTGCCTAGTCATAAACTCTGAGGTGTTTTAAGCTTTCAAATATGATGGCATTTTTTGTTTCCTGTCCTACTGGGTCTTAGGTAGAACTTCAGATGAGCACTGAGCCTGTATGCTTTTGGGTTTATTTCTATTGCTTGGTCATCCTGGACAGTTTTGCGTTCTGAATGCGGTTAGCTGGATCGCTTTTTGGCTCATTTCATGTTCGATTCCAAGCTGAGCTGTCATCAGATCAGGGACAGAATGTGTCAAGAACTTGGACCTGGACCCATTTATAGGTTTCAGATTTTTAATGAGGCGATGAATAAATCGAGCCTGACTCGACCATATATGACCGTGACCCTGCTTGGCCATTGAAGCACTGCCCAGCATGCAGACCAGTACTGAAAACCAACCCCCCCCCCTCTGTACTTCCCTTTCCTAAGGTGATTTTGTGTTATATGTAATTACAGTAGCATGTTCCCTCATGCCTCAGTGGATGAAGCAGGATGCAGCGGTTGGTTGGTTTCTCTGTTGCCCTTAACCTTAAAAATGCTTAAAAAAAAAAATAATAAAAAATCTTCCACTTTTAAGCTGAAGGGCATTGCCTTTGGTCTGACCAGAGTTCTGCTGTTTCCGTACCCATCTGATACGCCGTATTAAATTGCCAAAAAAAGTAAAACAAATGCACAGTGCAAAAAAAGACACTGTACAATATATTTATTTGATCGATTTTTTTTTTTTACATTGAAGACTCTATGGTGTTTTTCTTTTTTTTTTTTGTAACGATACTTTATATTTCTGGCATGTATTGTGCCATCATTTGCACTGTCTGCACTGCGCTGCTGTTTGTCCTATCATCCCACCACGCACCTGTCCCCTGTCTTTTAACTGTGGCATAAGAATTTCACTGTGTTCCTCTGAACACATGACAGTAAAACATGGAACTCGATTTAAAAGCCATTCTACAACGTACTAAAAAAGTCTGTGCTGTGATGATATTTATTTGAACCTGAAGTGAGGGTTCTAAGCTTTTTCTCAGGTATAAGGGCTTCGTCGTGATTCTTTTTTGGCTGCCATGGAATCCTCTTGATTCATTAGGTGACAGTTAAAACTGCTGGCGCCCACACTTTCTGGGAGCTTGGCATCCCAAGGACGTAAGGAGAAGCTGCACTCCTGAACGGGAGTAGTGTGTAGCCCAGTGGATTAGGACTCTGTGTCTGTGATTAGACAGTCACCAGTTCCAGTCCGGTGATCAGTAGAGTGATTTCACCATCGGGCCCTTGAGCGAGACCCAATTGTATGACGCTTTGGATAAAGTCACCTGCTAAATAATAAATGTAATGTGAGTTACATAGTTAAGTGTAGACAGCTTGTTGCTTTGCTTGAAATCTGTACTAGTAACATGATCTTAATAATTAGTGGTGTCGGTAATCCGTGGGTAAAGAGGGTAGCTTAGGCAGAGTTTGCCCTGGGCAGCTCTAACGTACCATACCCACTCTTCCTGGGTTTGCATGTACTTTACTGCCCTCCGTTTCAGTGTGCATATGGAGGTGCACTGTCATTATGGTGGCACAACAGTGTTCCGCCCCCCCCCCCATTTTATGGTGGGGGGCAAAGGGCCGGAGGGATGTGGGGATGCATAACTGGTGGTGGTTGGCTTGAGCTGGGGGCAGGTAAGGCTGCGGAGGCTTTTAGGGCCAGGTGAGAGGGTTTGCTAACAGCGTGTGTAAACAGCCTTCAGCAGTAGGGCATTTCCTCTTGTTCCTTGGACCGTGTAACTTGAATGACTCTGCCTGCCCACGCTAGCGGCCGGATATTTAATTGTCACATACGTGAGGGTGGGGGCTGGCAGCTCAAACTCCTTCAGGTCCGTGACAATGAATAGTCAGAACGTTCCCATCGATAACTAAACTGGAAATAGTTTCAGCTCCGTTGGCTCGGCATTTAAGGAAGCAGACCCGTGGCCAAACACAAAGCGAAGGAATTTTCAGGAACTGAGTAAAGCCGTGTCAGTGGATAAGATGTAGGCTTGTGAAACCGACAGTAGCTGTGCTTACCATTGCTGTCACTCGAGGGCCATGTTGGGTAAGCAGTGTTTGACAGCGTGCTCTAAACCTGCCCGACAGGACTTTGGCAGCCTCTGGTCTTATTAAGGCTACCATTAAAATTAACAAGCAGAAGTCATTTGTTGCCATCACCTATTTTTTTTTTAATAAAACTAAATGGATATGCTGTGTAGGATTTACCTGAAGACTCTATGTAAAAACTGTCCATCCCGTATGAGGATCAGGCAACAACAACAGACAAGAATCCAGAGATTGCATGGCTCTCTTAATCCATGAGGCATTGTTCTCCGCGACGCGTTGAAAGCGCTATTGTGCTGGTCGCTCGAAAATTGTTCAGGCCCCACCCACCATTTTATGCCAACAGAGCAGTCTTTGTCATACACAGGAATTGCAAACAGGTGAAAGCTGCACTTTCTAACCTTCGAAAGAACTCGAATGAATTATTGCTAGCCTAGCTAGTGTTCACTAATTGTTGAATGTGAGGAAGCCCTCAAACAGGCAAGATGAGGCGAAGAAGGTGGCAACGTTATCTGACATTTAGTTAATTAGCTTTTGTTTGTGACCTTGTGCACTCAGGCTTGTAAGTAGAGAGCAAATCAACTTTCCATCTGTTTTTTACCGTGGAGTATTGTGAGATTTGATATTTCTATTTTAACATTTTTTGGGAAGTGTTTCTTCTTTGGGGTCTAGGACTTCATTACTGGTACATTATTTTTATGTTTTTGTGAATGATTTCTGCCACTTTCAGTTTTGAATAAATGTGCTGATGCAGAAGACTGAGCTGAAGCCTCTTTCCCCAACTCTAGGAAAAAGGTGCCAGGAATGGATCAGTGTCGTTCTCTGCTTCTCTCTCATGGCCTTTAACTTCTGCTACCTTATTGCCAACTTCCACCTGGGTCATGCCTGGTACATCCTGGCTGGCATCGGTGAGTACCGGGACTGTGTGTATGTGTGTGCGTGCGTGTGTGTGGGGGGATTGATTCAGAGAGATAACCAATCAGATTGCAGAGGAGGTGGGTCCAAGCAACTAGAGGTGGTCAGACTAACCAGATGTCTTGGTCCCGCTCCTGTAGGAGCTTGGACTCACCTCTTCTGCAATCTGATTGGTTCAGAGAGATAACCAGTCATTTTCTTTCTCCCTAGTGTTTTTGTGCAAGCAAAACTCCCACAAGAGTCTGTCTTTTTCTTCCAAAATTTACAACCACTCCCTCTCCACACTTGTACGCAGAGCACAAAGAAACTCGAGAACACACAAACACCACACACAGAGCCGTGGTGGAGGTTCAAACCCTGGTCTCAGAGGTGTGAGCCAACAGTGCTAACCACTGCGCCACCAAGTCTTTCGTCTGTAATATATATCTGGTAACGCTGCCAGATTGGAGACGACATGTTGCTGCTGTGTTTGAATCTTCGTGCTCATATTTTAAGTTATCAACGCGGATGTTGTACGTCGTCCACAAAATTGGCAATCAAAAATACCAATCAAAAATACCAATTTCCAAAAATACTAATTTGGCCAATTTACATCTGCTGCTGATACATCAGAGCATCTTTCTGAGAAATGTGTGGTTCGGTGTGTGAAAATTTTACAGGTACTGGTTATTTCCACTGCTTATGAATGTTTGACTTTTGCTTGTGTTCCTGCATGTGAAGTATGTGTGTGTGTGTGTGTGTATAATATATATATGTGTGTGTGTGTGTGTGTGTGTATAATATATATATGTGTGTGTGTGTGTGTGTGTGTGTGTGTGTATGTGTGTGTGTGTGTGTATAATATATATATATATGTGTGTGTGTGTGTGTCGTCTGGTTAGATGATTGCTTCATGTTCTAAGTGGACTAGGTCAGCAGTGGCAGAAGGCAGGTTTGTTATTTTTTTAATTCTCCCCATCATGCAGACCCTAAGTGTCCAGTTCCTCTTTAACATTTCCCAGAGCTCCGTGGTGGTGTTCAGGTGCTTCTCTGTGGTTGCTGTGGTCTTGTCTGCAGTCTTGTATGTTTCCCCTGGAGACCATTGATGTCGATGGCTCTTATTCTCATTCGCCCCCCTTCAGTGGCCGGGATCCTGACGGCCGACTTCGCCTCAGGGCTGGTGCACTGGGGTGCCGATACCTGGGGCTCGGTGGACTTACCCATTTTTGGAAAGGTAGCACCTTTCATCTCTCTCTGTTAGTATTTGTACTTCCTTGACCAACAATCCATCCATCTCCCTGACAATGTCATATGCATAATGGAGCAGCTTTCTGTACAGTAATCACATTACACTCAGATAAACTGATGTCACTGAAGGTCACCTTGGCTGCTTGAAGGCTTTCTTGGGTAACTTAGAATCTGAGACAACCTTGCAAAATGAGATCAGGACTGTAAGGAGGCTATGCCTTTGAATAGGATATAGAGTCAGAACCACCGGGGGGCCAAACCATTGCCACCTTCCTCCCCCCCCTTCAGTCGTCAACCCACCAAGACCACTGACAGAATTTGATCACATTTGCTTACCTAACGTACCCTATCCCTACCTCTGGATGACATTCTAGTAACACCCAGGTGCCCACCCCCCACCCCCCACCCCCCAGGGAAACCTTGGGCCCAGCAGGGGAGAATAAATGACATTTTACTTATGTTTGGTGCCAGATTCTATAGCCTAATAATATGGGTCCACTTGCCACCAGCCAAAGGGCTGAAGTTATTTCCGTTACTGTGCATTTGTAGGTCTAGGTTGCTGCACGGTAGACATACGTCACATGATTTATTTTTATTTAGCTGAGTCTTTGCGGTTGACGCAATGATGTAGGTTTAGTTTACGTGTGTAGCATAGCAATTACAGGATATTACAAAGCGATTCCTGAGTTATCAGAAAGCCACGTACCAAGGCCATAAAAATGAATTTTACTTGTTTTTACTTATTCTTACCTGCCACAATAAACCCTATACCACAACTAACAATTACTCTTTTAAACTGTAACCGTGGCATGTTTCTACTGTAGGCATCATTTCTCTTTTATCTGAGGATGATTCATTCATTCGCTCGCGAAATAGCCAGAGAAAAACAAAGGTGTAAAGGGAACGAGACAGGAAATCCTGTGATCGGGGACATAAGCCGTCGTTCCCACTTCTTACCCTCGGAGGGATGTTTTCGCAGTAGCCGTTTTCACAAGCTCTTTGCCCGCCCAGTTTGTCGTCTTCCCGATTTTTGTCCCACTCTCTCCCTCTCCACTTCCTGCATTAGCTTGACCTCGGTGTGTGTTCCCCCTCCCCAGGCTTTCATCAGGCCGTTTAGGGAGCACCACATCGACCCCACTGCTATCACCCGGCACGACTTCATCGAAACCAATGGAGACAATTGCATGTTGACCATTGTCCCATTGGCCAACATGGCCTACAATTTCCTCACAATGTCCCCCGGTGAGTAGCCTTTGTCAGGGCTGCGACGGTGAGGTTTAGGGGCGTCCTTGATGAGTTTATCACATTGCGGGGACAAATGCGTCAACCCCATTATCCTCCACAGTTGATCTCTACCACAGTTACCCTTTGAATTGCTACGTCTTCGCCCTGGCCATCTTCGTCACACTGACCAACCAGATCCACAAGTGGTCACACACGTATATGGGCCTGCCGTTCTGGGTCACCTTCCTGCAAGACTGCCACATCATCTTACCACGCAAGCACCATCGCATCCACCACGTGTCGCCGCACGAGACCTACTTCTGCATCACCACAGGTTGGTGCCCCGTTGAGTTCTGGTGTTGACTGGTGATCCTGCCCGAATTTCCAGAACACTAGGGGTCTGGTGTCTTTATTGAGTTTGTTTAATCTTTCACGACGTAATTTTCCTTCTATAGTTATTCCCTTTTAACCGGTCGTCAAAAAAATGATAATGATAAGGACGATACCTGATTGTTTCCTTGGGGAAATTCTCTTTTCCCCTACCCCGTCTTGCACGCCATGACACACAGACACATGCGTAGGTGAGAGCAAGCTTGGCAGCAAAGGGCAGCCACCCGCTGTAGTGCCCATAGAGCTGGGGGCTAAGGGCCTCACACGAGCCGATCCGGTGACCTTGCGATCACGGACACAGAGGCTCAGCCCACTGAGCCAGACACTGAAAGAAGAATGAAGCTCGCTGATGAGCTGCCGTCTGTCGGCTAAATTCCTTAAGCACACTTTCCCGCTGTATGAAGCTTAAAGTGTGAGTCTTGCAGGATCAAAGCATCACTTAATCAAATAAATGATGTTGTCTTTGGGCTCTTCTGCCTTTTCTTTCCAGGCTGGCTGAACTATCCCCTGGAGAAGCTAGGATTCTGGCGTTCCCTGGAAGACCTGATCCAGAGCGTGACAGGAGAGAAGCCCAGGTCAGATGACATGAAGTGGGCTCAGAAAGTGAAGTAACCTAGGCATCTCCTGTGTGACCCTACCTCGGAATCACCTGCCTCCGCCTCCCCCTCACTGCCGCCCTCCCGCCTCTTGTGCTGCTCGACCCCCACCCCCCCACCCGCCACCCTCTCCAGACTTGGGCTTCACCAGCTGTGTTCCTAGTAGCAGCGGTGCATTGAAATTCCTGGCGTCGAGCATTCTGTCTATTCCCTTGGCTCTGCCAGAGCCTCCCATCATGACAGGCTGTGTTGCGACCTGGGAAGCGGTACAGGAGGGGGGGTCCGCTTTGCTTGGACGAGGCATCACGTTCGCCGAAAAGAACTTACCCCTTAATCTGTTTTGCTTTGGATATCGGTCTCCTCTCTCCTTCCCTGTCCAAATTCCTGAGCTGGTACTAGTGTCCAATGAGAAGAAAAATAGCCATCACCCGGAAGTGGTAGCCAAGCATGGATCGTCTTCTGCCTACTGTACGACTGCAAGGTCAACTTAACATCTGTATTTTATAGGAAAAAAAAAAATACACACAAAACCGATACTTGAAGAACAAATACACGCCTTTCAAAGTAATCCCTGAGCTGCTTTGCTTTTTTTATGTTTTTAAATCATCATACTATTATGTTTTTTTGAAGAGAATACGAAAACTAACATCCAAATGACTGGCTGTGACATCAGCTGCCTCACTCCTTTTTCCATCCCCATCACTTGTCATGGTTCTCCGATCTGAGTATCCGGCCCCCCCCCGTCCGACCTCAGGAGTTCCTGGTCTGGGAGCCGGGCATCACCACCACGCTTGAGGCTCTTTGGACGGAGCCTTGCGCTTCGCAGATGATGTATTCTATCCCCTGTGGTTCTGCGTAGAAAGATTGCCTTTCCTTACCAACACCAGGCTCCGTGGGATTCCTGCCCGGTTCACTTTGAGACCAGGGGGCGCTGGCCTTATTTCTGCTGCCCCATTTTTTTTTTGCTCCCCTAATATTATCCCTATTAAAGTGTTTTGGCCACATGGCTCTGTCTACTTCTAGTCCTGTTTGTCTGCCCTTGGTGGATCTCCAGCTGTTCCTCTGAATTTGGTGGTGCTCTAAAACCCAGCAAGGGGGCGCTGTCCTGGCCCAAATAATTTACTCTGTGCTGGATTTATGGGGTGGCCTCGGATTGGCTAGCTGTGTATTTTAGGGTGTGGTCTGTGGAATGTATAAACTTATGTAATGAGTAAATGAACATCTGTTAGAATACGTAGGTAGGTTTTAAATTGTGATAGAAAGGAATATTGTGATTTATTGTTACAATGCGGCGTAATTTGAAACACAGCATCCTTAAGACATGCGTAAACATATAGACGTTAAGCAAAATTACATGTAAATGGAAGCGCGCAGCTGCCACCGCGATTCAGCTGAACAACCAGGCTGATGCTCGCCATTACAGAACTTCCCATTAGGAAAAAATGCCTGTTTGGGACACAAACGTTACAAACAAATGAAGTGATTATTATTATTATTTTTGAGTGTGTCTGTGTGTACTTTTGTTAGTATGTTTGTAATGTTGTCATTCGCTTTTCCCAAAACTCAATAACGGGATAAAGATAATAGGTAATAAAGAAAGGGAAACTTTGTTCTCGACCCAATGCCAAAAACTGTAAATTAATCTGCATGGGTCATTATATTATTATTATTACATGAAAAATGTAACTAATTTTTTTATTAATAAGATGTACATAGCTTAGCTATCGTACCGTTATAGCCATATTTAGGAGGTAGAGTCCTCATTAGTTGAATGAGTAATGGCTGTTTGGCTGATGGAGGCTTTTGCACGACAGAAGCTCCAGAATTACCTGAATTGGACTTTCCCTCCCCAATACTGCCAACACACCTGGTCAGCAGGTGACACCAGTGTAGAGGTGCCAGTTTGTTAGCCAAATGCGGTTTCTCATGCCAGTTTGTTGGCCAAAAAGGCGTCTGATACAGTGTGTTGGGCATTCTTGATTGGAGTATAGCTTCAGATGTAAGCTTGGTGTAAGCTTTCTGGGAAAAGTCAAATCAGGGTCCCATTTTTATTGAAAATGTCGAAAAGCATGTAGATCCTTGGGTTTGTGTAGGAGCCAGCACTGAGACGAAGGATGCTTTCTGACAAATAAAGCGAGCAGTGTACGTATTAACAGCCAAGCCACACTGCTGCACAGAGACGGAGCTTTAGTGTTTCTCCTCAAAGGGCAAGTAAAAGCTGAAGTTCTTCACACGTCGCACCATGCTTCTTGCAGGCGTGGTGTCAGGTAATCGCTTGCATTAGCGAGGAAGTAGGTTCGGCTTTGTGGATATAATTGAAATCTTTGCACTTACCAAAGAAACCAGTGGCTACAATCTTGTTAGGTTTTATATGCTTCCCTCACCATTAATGCATTCAGGTCAAATGGGATATTAATAGTTTCCCTGGATACTGGAATATAAATAATTGCTCTGTAGTTCTGTTATTTTTCTTTTGAATTGCCCATATTTTAAAGCACTTAAATCCAACTGATGTTTAAAATAATGTGTCTTGAATTGGGAAGCACATAACTTTTTGCATAGTAGTGGGAACTTGCCTAAATGTTTTAATTTAGTCTAGGATAGCTCTCCCACTGAGTGGGAAGTCATCACCACAAATGGAGGGTGCTAAGATATGCTGTAGGTAGGACTTTGAACAACACGTTGTCTGAATCAAGATTGGGTTTGTTTTATCACTCCTGGCTTCTTATATTTTTAACTGTTGCATACTTTTCAAAACCAAGATGCGATCTGACGGCACAAAATGCGGACGTAGATGGTGATGTTTAGCCAGAGCAAACTTATAGGAACAGTCTGCCATCTGTAGATTGGTCATTCCTTTGATTGTAATGAGTGTGCAGTTATGGTGGAACAGTTGGTCTAATAATTATATGTCTTGCTGTAATAAGACTGAAGCAGTGAAAGTCCATTACCAATGTCCCGCATTTCTGATTGGTCCCTGGTCTGATTGGTCACTCCGCTGACATTCTAAGCAAGTCCTGACTGCTTAGGTGTGTCCTATGCTGGGCTGAAGCTGCAGGCATTAATCGACTCACACCGATCTCCGTGCCGCAATGTTTGCTGCTGAAGATAAGCAGACGTTCGCTCCCTTAGCTGGTGCCGTCTGTGCGGGTCGGTCTGCCGACGCGAGGGAGCTGTGCAGTTACTCACCACAGCTCACTCGCTTTAATATTATGGGCTCATCTTGGCAGAAATTTGTTTAAATGTGGATGTTTGATCACTCCAAATACTTGGAAAGAGTAAACTTAGGCTACAGAGCTGGTAATGTGATGTGGGGGAGGAAGGAAGTGATGACTGACTGTGGAAGTATGTTTGACTGATTTTGAAGGTCTTTGAAGGTGCATCTTATGGAATGAGATTATGTTTTCAGTATTTACTGCAAACATTTTATATAATATAGTAATCAGTAAACTCCCTGATCACTGATCTTTTGATGGTAAGACCTTTATTTGGTCATATATAATTGGGTGTGATTTCAGTGGTTTTCGCTATGAATGTATATTTCAGAGTGAATTCATAAAAATAACAGAATCGCAAGGAAGAAATGTACCTCACAAACTAATCTTTGAAATATAGCATTAATCTTTTGGGTAATTTTTGGTTTTAAAATATTATTCTCATAATTCATTTGAAAATGTTAGACTGATATTTTACTGTGGGATTATTTGAAATGTGTGGACTCTTCCACTGGATATAAAGCATTTCTGCAGGAATTATCAGTGTTTGTGGGTTTTTTGGTGAAATGTGCAGCAACGGCTAAATATTGTAAATATCAGAAATAATACCTTGATGCCTTTTCGTTTTCTTACAGTTGGGAGACTGTAATGTTACAATGTACATAATATATTTATAAGGAAACTAAATAAACAACTTGCATACTATCAGTTTGTGTTTTTTTCTCATTTTAATCAGTGTTAGCTAGGTGTAGCCTAGCTGACAAAAATGGCTTGTAATCAGGATGATGTGCCTGTGATTGTAAGGTTGCTGGTTCAAATCCCATTGTCGGCAGAGTGATGTCACCGTTGGGCTCCTGAGCGAGGCCCTTAAATTCCAGTTGCTTGAGGGCCTGCCTGACCTTGCTTTCTCAGAAATGTAAGTCCCTATGGATTAAATATGTAAAATATAGCTGGGAATATGGTATTTACCTCATTGTTGAGCCAGCTCGTTTTATACAGAGAAATTTAATTTTTTTAGTTTCCTGGGAAATGCTTTGAATGAAAGTGACTCTGTCCAGTTTTCACGACAGCAAGCTGAATGACAGCCGTGTTTGAGAGGCACTGGAGCGGCACGAGGCGTAAGTGTCATGTTAATGATTCACGGTACTAGTGATTGTCCTGATCCTGGCCTGCGTGTGGAGAGGAAGCCACGAATCAAATTCAGTGTCCTAAGTTACAAGTAGTGGTGATAATACGCTGGGTTTCCATTCAGCGCTATGGTAACAGCATCACCTAAACAAAGAAATTCTGGCATGCTGAAAGCCATTAAGGAGGAAAGGGTTATTAAAAAAAAAAACTGACATCTTATTCAAGTTCAGGAATTAAACCTGAACTTTAAGAGGTAAGATAATGCTTCATTGATAATCGGATTTATCCAAATTAGATTTCCTTTTGTATGCTATTCATTATTAAACAAGTACTGATTTTTTTTAAATTTATCATCAGATGAGCATGAATGCATCATGGAATTAAATGTTAAACTTCTGAAGTTTAAAAAGCTTAAACATGGTTACTGTTCCATGTTTTCAGCATCAACGATCAAATCGCCTGCATAATGGTTAGATTTCTCTTGCCGCTGCCTCATTCAGATGCTACCTCTTCTGTGTGTGGAGTTTGTACAGCATTCGGGTTTCACTCTCTCGGGTCAAAGACATGCGGTTAAGGTGACGGGCATCTCCAGCTTGCCCACGGTGTGCAGGCATGAGCTGAACACCGGAATACCTCTACCTAAGGCTCCATGCTATGGAGCCCAGCCATGGGCTATGGTCACCCTGCTGCCCATTATGCTGTAACATGGTTAAAGATATGTCACTAATGAGGTAATCTGTGTTACTATCAGAGTTAGGTAATTCAGGTCCAGAGAGTCAAAGTCCACACCAAGATTTTGTTTCAACCAACCAGTTGAGCTCACAGTCACAGAGTATCCAACTGGTCGGTTGAAACAAAATCCCGGTCTGAACCTGAATTATCCAGCTCTTGTCATTATATGCCACTTAACTGTTGCAATTCGATGAAGCACCTTTCCATTTTTTACCATAATTAATTTGGTAAGAATTATTAATAATAAAACTTTACATATTGCATTATTATTATTATTGTTAAAGCAACTACTACTGCTAATAATGATGATGCTGATAACAACCACAACTATTATTATTATTATTATTATTATTATTAATAATAATAATAATAATAATAATAATAATAATAATAAGTGTCAGGTGAAACCAACCACACACACTAGGCAACAGAGATTTAGGATGTCACCAAGGACTGGGTTGGAAAACTCTGGACTAGACAAGGACACTTTTAGTCAGGTGAACACAATATTTATCACTCAGGAAATGGACAATAAAGAACAAATAGCATGGCTTTCATAGACAGGAAGGACTTTGAAACAAATTTAACTGGATATAATGCAGTGAATGAATAGCTGATACCAGTTTGATTTCATAGATACCCCTTCAAAATTACATTTATATGGGCTTATGCACAAACAACAATAAAGAAAAGGTTTATGAGCTGGTCCAGGTGGAAATGAACAATATGTTGCAGGAGACTGACGGCTAGAATGTGAAATGAGGATGTCAGAAATTCAGCGGGCCAGTCAGACCTGGAAAGTGGGTCTTTATATGAGCAATTAATCGCTTTCTATAAACACAATGGCCTCTTCAGTGTCAATACTGTACATTCTTCAAGAACCCAGATCAATACACCGGAGCATCACACAAATCAAATAGACTGTGTTATCAGTGCCAAATGACAAAAGAGCTGCATTCAAACAGTGGTGAGGAGGAGAGCGGTCAGGAGCGTGCACTGATTTCAGTGCATTGCTGCATCCACCACATGACAAAGCACCTCAGGGGTGAGAACCTGAGTGCAGCCGTGCGGTGGGTGATACCTCAGCACCACACTAGTCCAAACAGAAGGGTGTGAGTTTTCCCCAGTGGCTGGAATGCCGATCCTGCCACCACACAAACAGTGATAACAGGACCCAATTTGTGGTATAGGTCGTGAACTACTTATGAAGCCTGGAGAATACACCTAACTGTCTTCAAAGAAAATTTCAGAAACTATTCTGAGATGCAGGTCCTACTTGACATAGAACCGGCGGAATGGTGGATAGAATTCTAAGTATTTATTCAAGAAGATTCTGAAAAAAAATGAGAGGCAAAGAGATCAAACTGGATGACATAGAGCACAAATGGGCAAGATTAAAAGAATAGCCAAAATCAGTGAAGATGAAGGCCTCTTAAAAGTATTATGAAGAAAATTCCAGAAAGCTGCATCAAAAGACAAAATATAATATTACAATAACATTTGAAATGTCACTGAATAAGGAAATGACCACAGTATTTCCTGTAAATCTTTATGAATGTGAAAGCTAGACAATGGAGAACTGGGATAGGTTGACACCCTTAAACTCTGGTGCTTCATATGAATACCATCGAACCACAAGAAAAGCAAACAAGAACATTCCTGGTAAAAATCAAGCCAGAATTTTCATTCAAAGCACATGTCATCTTATTTTGGACATATTAGGCCTACTGTGCGGGACACCATTCTTAAAAGTTAAAGGTAAAAGAGAAAGAGGCCGACCAACAACAGGATGGATGGTCAGTCATCATAGCAATGAATATGCCATTTTAAACCCTGAAAAACCAGACAGAAGACAGGACAATCTGGAGGAATGCTGTGTATCTGGTCATCAGGAATGTATAAGAACATTGTTATTGTTAATTCCCCTGCTAGCACTACTGCTACTGAAGTGACTAACTGTGACTGTGAATACTAGGAGCACGCTGCAGGGTTAACAGGCTCGGTTAGTGCACGCCGCGGGGCCGTGCCCGGACATGGGAGCGTGCGCGTTCTCGCTACAGAGCGACAAGATGGCGGTCGCCGCCGGATCAGGTAAACCTAAGTCCCACTAACAAAAGATAATTACACATCACGGCGCGGCGAGACTAGAGCATCTTTTGGCTCCCTTTCGTGTAGGATCCGAGGCGGCAGCTTCCCTTTTAGACCCTCGGCGCGGCTACAGCGAAGGCGGGGGGCGTTTGCCGTGTTTTTTTTTTTCGGGGCTTGACAGCGTCCAAGGTTCGGACGGGCTGTTTGGTAGCCCTGGGCTTTGTGCCGCGGCGTCGTTGAACGTTCGGCGATGCGGGAAATCGTGTCTGTGCATCCTTTCAGACGCTTTTCCAGTTAGCCTGACTTGCTATCTCGGCGTATCGATGGCCCGCGCCGCGTCATCCGTGTGCAGTATTATGGACGCCGTGCCAGCCTGCAGAACCGGCTCCCCCTAACCCTAACCCTACGGTTTGGTTATCCGAGACCGGGGCTCGGTTCCCGAAATTAGAAATCGCCCAGTCTGCAATCAAAGGCTCCACTCGGACGATCCCTGATCGCAGCCTCCAGGTCTGGCCTGCTGGGATCCCGGATCCCTGTTTGCGTCCCCCTGAGTCTGGCTGATCAGGGCTGCGTTATCAGAGCAATCATCGGCGCGGCTGATTTTCGGTACATGCGCTGATCGTTATAAATATGGGCGATCAGCTGCAATACAGCCCCCCAAACAGCAGCCCTTGTCTAATATGCGGCCGCCTGTCCACTTGAATGTTATGCGCTGCGTGCAGGGCCGGTCTATAGGCGGCATAAGCGGCCGCCTAGGGCGCAAAACTTCTGAGGGGGCGCCGACTTGCCAGCTAATTTTACTTTGCCTCGGACTGGGGGGCTCCGGCGTTAATTTTCGCCTAGGGCGCCACATTGGCTTTGACCGGCAGTAGCTGCGTGTTTTTGTTAAATTTACAGCCGCATATATTTACAACACTTCCTTTCTTCATTTACACTTTCTAATAAGTTCTGTTGAAGGGTTTTCAGATCCGTCAGCTGTATCATAAGGTCCCCGGGAGGCTGACACAACATTTTGTTAATATTTTAAGTAGCCAGAATGTAGTATAAACTGAAATGTATAGACCACCTTCGGCTGGCGTTTTTGTCATTGCATAATGTGTGTATAAGGTCAATAAATAATCAAAAGCAATAAGCAATAATATTGTAAGTGCTTCGCGCCAGTACCTACCCAAGAAAATGTGGTGTCTCTCCTATTTGTATTAGTTTATCCTTTTTGGGAAGTATATAAAAGCATTTTCTTTACAGAGTTTATGTGTTATGCCAGTATTTCTCCAAACATCAGTGTGTCCCACAGATGGTCCCAGGAAATTGGGAGGGAGCAGAAACGCAGGCTGTCTGGGGTCCCTGAGGACTGGTTTGAGAAAAACTGCTGTATAGTATCGCTTCTTCAGAGAATGAATAAGTTACTCCCTTGTCTTCAGTATTTGAGATACTCCCTGCACATTAATACTTCTAACATGATAGTGCTACTGCTATCAGGAAAATAAGTTGTATGTTTTTGTGCAAAACCATGTGGATGTTAAGTTACTGCTGTATTTAGTAAATATTATTCTGTGCAGTAATTAGTGTACCTGCCAGAAGGCACTGAGATTAACGCTCTTTGAACCAAACTCACTGAACCCTGAACAGCAATGCTCTCCTGCTCTGTGGCGACTCGCTCCCCCTCCTCCATGAACATTTGTGATCCCTTTAGATGTGTACCCTGTAACCCCCCTCCTTAGAAGCAGATGTCTCTTGTCCTTGGTGCCTTGGGGGGG